AGGATCACTTGAGCCCAGGAGTTTGAGGTTGCTGTGAGCTAGGCTGATGCCACGGCACTCACTCTAGCCCAGGTAACAGAGTGAAACTCTGTCTCAAAAAAAAAAAAAAAAAGAAAGCAATAAAAAGATACAGATAATTGATTTTTTTCTTTTTAGAGATGGAGTCTTGCTCTGTCACCCAGGCTGGAGTGTAGTGGCCCGAACATAGCTCATTGCAGTCTCAAATTCCTGGGCTCAAGTGATCCTCCCACTCAGTCTCCAGAGTAGCTAGGACTACGGGTATGTATCACCAGGCCCAGCTAAGATAACCGATTTTTGACAAAGATGCAAAGGCAATTGAATGGAGAAAGTACGATCTTTTCAACAAATGGTGGTGGATAGATAGATATCTATCTATCTATCTATCTATCTATAAAACCTTGAATTATACCTATCATAGATAAAAATTAACTCAACATGGATGATAGACTTAAATGTAAAATCTAAAACTATGAAACATCTAAAGGAAAACATAAGAGATGTTCATTTAAAAAAAAAAAGAACTGGCCTATATGTTTTAAAAAATAAAAAGAAAATGAAAACATAGGAGAAAATCTTTGTGACTTTGAGTTAAGCAAATATTTCTTAGATATGACACCAAAAGTACAAGCCATAAATGAAAAAACAATGGGTAAATTGGACTTGATCATAATTAAAAATGTCTGCTCTTCAAAAAATACTTTAAGAGAATGAAAAGGCCAGGCATGGTGACTCATGCCTGTAATCCTGGCACTTTGGGAGGCTGAGGTGGGAGGATCGCTTGAGGCCAGGAGTTCTAGACAAGTCTGGACAACACAGCAAGACCCATCTCTACAAAAAATAGAAAAAATTAGCTGGGTGCGGCAGTGCTCGCTTATAGTCCGAGCTACTCGGGAGGCTGAGGCAGGAGAGTAACTTCAGCCCAGGACTTTGAGGTTGCAGTAAGCTATGATGACACCACTGTACTCTAGCCAGGGTGACAGCGTGACACTGTCTCAAAAAAAAAAAAAAATTTCTGAACCACAATAAAGAGAACCTAGAAAATTCAGAGCCCCAGTGCTCACCTGATGGGCTGTACTTGAGATTGTTCAGCAGGGAGGTGGTTGGTGCCTCAGGGTCAGGAGAAGCAGGCTCACATACATTTAGGTTTTCATCTTTCATTTTATCCATCCTGGTTCTTTCTGTATTTAGGCTATCCCTACAAAAAACAACACTCAGGTGAACTTGTTCTTTGTTGCTGATGCCATACACAGATTCTGCCACATCTTAATTGTAAGGACTGTGGTCCTCCATTAACTAAAGCATCCATTTATCCATTATTTACATTGACTTGAGGGTGCTATCTCTAAAGATGGAAGAAAACGTCTATACATTTCTTCTCATTTCCTATTTCCTTATGCCATTTTATGAATCAAGTAGCTAGTGAGTTAGAGTTAAGGCTTTCTACCCTAATGTGCACATTTTGGAAACATCATAATTAAGAAAATAATTCCATCATACCTAAGAGAAGATGGCTTTTCTCTCACTGCACCTTGCTCCACTTCATCCAGTAGTTCCACTGTAAAATAACCAATTGGCTTCCAGCAGAGTTTCCAATCTGAAAACAATTAACCACTCCCAACCACCACACATCCAGTTTGACTAGGTACTGCAAACAGTAATTGAAATTTCAGTCCATAGGGCTTTCATTGGCCAGCAATAAATAGAGCAGAAAAGACTATCCAATGTACTGATGACTCCCAATATCATGTCCTTACATAGCTTCTTGGTTATTCAGCAGGATTAGGAACCTCTCTACATATTCCCTTCACTCTTTTTGTTCCAGGGTGCCTTTGTTGTCTTTCACACTGGTTCTGGAGATTTTTTTCCCCACCCATCCCAATGATAAAGTACCTCCCCTCACTCACACTGTGTACTGTTTGAGAGTTTTTTCTTAAATCATTCACACATCTGTCCCTGCCATTCTCACAGGCTGGTGCATTAATAGTTCAGTGACATGAAAGGTAATGAAAGCTAAAATGGAAACCCCAAAAGAATTATAAGACAAATATTGCACAGAAATCCTGACATCATTTATTTTTAATCTAATTGTACAGGTAATATAGGGAAATATTGTATTTCATTGATTCTAACATGCACATTTTAAATAGCTCTGAAATTACTGTTTACAATATTAATAAATATATATGATAGTTTAACTGGCAGTTTCTTTTCCTTATGGTGCAAAAAGCAACAGTGTGTCTCATAATTAATAGCATCTTAGATTCAAGGAAGCATGTTTAGGTACTTTTCAAGGAAAAAGCCTCTCTCAGAGGGCCACTATGTTTTAAATGTCTCTTTTCTCTGCAATATCTAGAAGTGTTGAATCTGGGGCAGAGAAAAATAAAATTCAATAAAAATGCTCATTAGCTATTATTATCCTTCATCTTGACAATTCTTATCCAAGGTGCTTTTTGGAGGGACCTCTCCATGGCTGATTGGGCCACAGGGAAAAGAAAGAGAGGACCATCTTCTGAGCTTAAAAATTATGAACAAAGGCCAAGTCCTAGTAAAGAATTTAGGAAGAGATGAATTCCATGTGTACAGATTACAAAGCTGGTCAGTAATCAGCCTTCTTCTGAGCTATAAGGAGAAAGTAATAGTGATTCCTTTGCTTCTCTCTACAAACTCATCCATAGCCTAGCTTTGTTCCAGTCCAGAGCTTGGTTTTACTGCAAAGGTTTATAGTTAAAACACAGTTAAGAATTCCACTAGTACCACCACCATCAATTCCATTACAAAAAGGTATTCAAGGGACAGTGTTTATGGTAGCATACTCAGTGAGAAAGGATAGTTAGGTAGCTGTCCAAACTTGTGGAACTTGCAATGGCTCTGGATTTACAGTCGTTAATTTGGTGAGATTTTCATCTCCTCCTAAATTCTAGTTTTATCACAAAGCAAAGCAATTTTTTTTTTTTTTTTTTTTTT